TCAGTTGTATTTTCAGTGTTTTTATTAAGACATTTTCATTTCATGCATGAATCATAAAAGCAACCCACAAGTCAAAGACAACATAAATTCCATGTGAACTTAACCTTTAAGTGCATAGTTGCAGTTCAGGTTTTCAGATGATAAAGGTTAATTGTAATAACTGATGAATGAGTAATGTGAGAAACTGTTTTGAGACATTATTTGAATATGACTTTTGAGTCAGCTGTCATATTGGCTAAGCTTCTGCATATGGCTTAACAAATTAGAGAGATAAAAATGTACTCGCATCCAATAGAAAAGTATGATTTTTTTTTTTTTTTTTTTGTGTGTGTGTCTCAAAAAGAGTTGTTCAATTAAAAGCTCAAGAAAGCAGATACGATTACCATAAAAGGAGAACATCTAGTATTCCAAGTATTCTATAACCATAAGCTTTTCTGAGGAACAGACTGAAATGTAAATATTCTGTAGACAAACAATGAATAGTATTTTCACATCAATTTGATCCTTATTCTTCTATAAGGGTGGATGGAAAGGACACCGGTGGCATCAGTATGGCACATCGACGCCTCTCATTTGACTGTAAGTCCAGACCTGTATTCAGTCACCAGAGCGCCGGCATCGCTAGTCAGACAAGAAGCAGTGATGACATGGAAAAGGTAAAAGGTGAAATTCTTGAATATAATGTACATTGTTGTTTTAAAAGGACTTTAATGTCAACTTGACTATGCTTTTTTCACAGGTTTCTGCATTACTGAGTAAAGATGTCACGTCAGATGAGAACCTGGCTGAGACGATTCATCATGAACATTTTGCAGGTAAGGCATGATTACAATGCATGACATCATGGCTTTCAGTGTTTCCAGAGGTAGGAATTTTGATTGGTTGGCATGTAGCAACAAAGACGGGTTTTAACCTGTCACTGATGATGAATAATCTAGGTGTGTCTGAATTTCTGTGGCTCCCATATGCGAGTAACACAGCAACAGATGTGTGGCAAGCCTTATTTGGATGTTTAAAGTGTGATCCTTTGTCATGCAGTGCCACTATACACTAAGCACAATCAATCCTACCTAGATGTATGTATAAATAATATTAATGTATAGAATAATCATACATTGATTTATATAAATACTTTTTTTAGGATCTGGAATCTCTACACACACCCTTGACAGTGGCATTGGCACCTTCCCTCTTCCTGACTATAGTGCAAATGCTGGTTGCAAAAGCATTCCCAAAGGGAAGGCCCATGGGGAGTGTGACCCTTCTCATCTCCAGGGAAAACATGGCTCAGGGATGAAAATGCCTCATAAGGCCTGGACTTTGGAGAGAGAGTTGTCATGTTTAGAAGAGGATTTTATGGGGGGTCAGGATATTGACCATCTTACCAGCAATTTGGAGAACAAGATCCCATCCAGCCAGATTGCAAACATCGTTCATGAAGGTATATAATACTTTAGCTGTCATTTATATTCCTATAATCCCTTCCATTTCTCAGCTTTGATTTATCGTTTCAGGCACTGATATTTGTGGAGCACCTATGAAATTGGGCCCCACAAAGAACTGGACTTTCCCAAACCTCAAAGCATCTGCAGAGTCGTCTGAGGTTTATCTTGGCGTAGGTGACGGAGTGGAGCCAGTGAGTCATAAGAGTTCATTTAAGAGGGTGAGCATCACTTTAGATCCTAGCTTCACCCAACAAGACAATTACAGTACAACAATGCAATCTAATTCCCCTTTTTATTATAAAATGTTCAAAAGTTTGGGATCGGGATTTTTTTTTTTGCAATGTTTTTGGTAAGTTATTCTCTCCTAGGCTGCATTTATTTGATTAAGAATATAGAAAAAACATTAATATTGTGAAATATTACTACAATTTAAAATATAATTTTTGTTTCTGTGATGGCAAAGCTGGATTTTCAGCGTCATTACTCAAGTGTTCAGTGTCACATGGTTCTTCAGAATTCATTATAATATGCTGATTTGTTGCTCAAGAAACATTTCTTATTCTCTTGGTGAAAACAGTTGTGCTGCTTAATATTTTTGTGAAAACTGTGATCCAGTTTTGCAGAATTCTTTGGATTCTGAAGTGCAAATTTATCTTTTTTAACATTATAAATGTCTTTAATGTCACGTTTGACCAATTTAGTGCATTCTTACTGAATTAAGGTATTAATTTCTTTCAAAAAAACAAACAAAAAACCCTCTTACTAGCCATTAAAACATCTTACTTAGTAGTGCATTTCTTTTAGTATACATAGTAAAGTTCAGCCGTGTGTTTGCTTTCCTATGTTTAGATTACCTTTGCCTCCATCTAATGTTCACTGAAAGTTAATCTTTAAAAATGCTAATTATATGATAACAATCTATCAAATCTCAAAATGAATATCTTTTTTTCATACTATACATTTTGTTTTTGGGCCTAAATTGACTCAGATCATTTAAAATGACTGATTTTAGTCCGTTTATTGTTTGTCTGCCAAACCATAAAAATAAATATCTACCAGAATTTTAATATCAGAGTATCATAATACATTGTATTAAGTTTTATTATGATTAATGAAATGATATTTTTGGGCCTTTTTTTCCTGCAGCGCAACAAGGCTAGTGATTCCGTGGCCAGCCGCGAAGGAGACCCGAGAAGTCTTCCTCAACCCGGGCAGCCACGTAGAGGCAAAAGCCGTATTCCTGCAAACCCGGAGATGGTGAGGGACACTGGTTTGGAGTTGGTGAGAGAGAGACCTGACGACGGCCTGTCTCCAAGCCATCCCCAGGTCCTCGAGACCCCCGAGTCCCTGAGCGATTCCCTCTACGACAGCCTGTCCTCGTGTGGTAGTCAAGGGTGAAGGGATTTCAGAGGGACTGAATGATAACCAGGTACCAACCTTTTTGTACCCCGATTCTCGTGACGCTTCAAATATTTTTCGAAGGAGGATATTTACGGGATAACCCATTTTTTTTTGACCGAGAAAAGCTCATGCCACATGTTTCCCTCGAAAAACACGAAATACCCACGTTTTTATCCTGATGGTTGGAAAGAAGGACTTTTACAATGTGTTTGTGGTGGTGTCATTTTAGCCCATTATAACAACTCTATCATCTCATTCGTGTTCCCTGTTTCAAGTGGTAGCAAAAGTAGTGACGCTCAGCTCATAGTATTGTTAAATTACATTTCAAGGACGAATCCAAGCTCATCGCGACAGTCTTCCAGTTTTTAATCTCACAGAATGTTCTGGTTCTCATGCAACATCAGTGCACACTCTCTTTGGTAACATTTGTGTAAAGTTATTGGAAAGTGAATGTTAATATATGTGATTTTCAATTAATTTAATATGCATATTTCATGAAAAAAAAGAAAGAAAAAAAACATGGATCTGTGTAAAACTTGCATCAGCCGTAGACTTTTGATTCATTGTGTTTGAAGAAAATAAAACCTCGTAGCAGCAACATACAGTAAGTGCGATTCATAAAAGACAGAGCTACAGTGTTCCACAGTGAATTATTATTTGCTTTTATTTATTTATTTTCTTTGAGTAGTGTGGGAAGACAAGACCACCTTTTATTGGTTACTCCTTTTACGTTCTGTTCAAACGTGTACTGTGCCTGACTTTGTGTGTACGTGTCTCGCTGTGCGTCTATAGGATAGCTTTGTTCTCCTGACCCGGCCATGACTTTTTCTTTTGTGTATGTTACTTGTGTTTTTCAATGATTTAAAGAAACTTGTGACTCATGACTTAATTCTGAACTGTGTGTTGTTGGATTACCCTGCGTACAATCAGTGAACTCAAACCCAAGAAGTTTGGCTCTGGCTGACTGGACATGAGAGAAAATCGTCAAATCATTCCTTGCGAATTTTGAAAAGGTGGCTGATGATTTATTTACTCTTTATGTTGACGTAGTAACGCTGACTCTGCCTTGCGCATCTTTCCACAGCTGTTAGAGATGACCCTCCTGTGAGCCAGGTTTCATGTTGATTACTCAGCCAAAGGGGTTTTCTTTGGGAAATGGTCGTGTGTGTTTTTTTTTTTCTCCCCCACAAACCCATCATATTTCTTCAGCATAAAACATTTTGGTGCAATTCAAGTTAAGGTGCATTGCATGCATTTAACTGTGGCTAATCCTTTGTAATGGATTACAGTAAAAAAAAAAAAAAAAACTTACAATTTTCAAGAGGTTGCTCAAAAAGCCATAGGTTAGTAGATTAGTACAACCCGAATCCTTTCCAATCTGTTTTTGACCTCAATAGCGTTTTTTTTTTTTTTTTTTAACGAAGCGACCACAACAAAAGACTAATTGAAAACATTCCCAAGCATATATACTTTGTCATTCGACAGTCTTTCCAGGCCTGTGTACAATTTTTGTAGAGAAATTAACTTTGTAGTCATCCTCAAACTTATACGCATGTTACTTAAAATTCTTGTTTTTTTAAATAAGTAGTTTGTGTTACTATTGTAGTTCTCTAATTTGCCTGCCATTATAACCTTTGTTATTTACTTTGTTGTAATTGTCAGGAATATTTTATATTAGTTTGGTATGTTTACAAAAGAATTTATGATGAAGTTGTTAATATATCTGTAAAATGTTTATATAAGGTGCTATCTGATTTTTGTTTTCACTCTGTCCTGCAAAAGCCATAAATGTGTTTTCATAATCTCCTTTCTAAGCAATCGCCATCACTCAATAAAACTCAACTCAATAAAAACCTTTTTAAGTACTTTTTTTTTTGGTAGTATATTTTTTACAGAATATGTGACGCATATCTTCCTCTACTGTGTGGTGGATTCTGGTGCCCCTAGTGATCAAAAGGAGGATGTACAACTTGCTTTTCAGATAATGGCAACAATGTATTTTGATTGAAAATTTGAGATGCTCTATTTGTTTAGTTTTCAAAATGAGATATTTTAGGGCAAAGAATTTATCTAATTTATTAATTCTGTGTGGGTGTATGTAAAATTAATAATATTAGCTTACAATGGCTTAATAAGAAAATACAGAGAAAACAATTACATGTTGCACAAAAAAAATGTTTTATTGTCGGCAATACAAAAGTCAAAAATATGACAACACAGTCCTTATCAGGGCGAATCTTTTAACCAAAAGGCAATAATCTGCCCTTCGAACACTTGGCTGTGTTTATAAAAAATCATGGCCATTTTGAATATTTGTGCTACAGTAAAACCAAGTTATAATATAAACATGATTATGATCATGTTTAAATAAAATAAGATGACGCACAGAGGTGGAGCATCTGGTCTGCATCAACAGATCATACAAAGATGGACATTTTCAAGTTCATGTCTCATACAAAGACTTTCAAGTTCAACCAAATATACACATAAATGACAGGACAAGTAATTGTCTGCATAAATACAGCAGAGAGAAGTACAATAACTGAACAAGATAAATCTCTTTGGTTCATTCTGTGGTGTTAATTCTGCTCCTCACATATAATAAAACCCCATCAAGTACACGAAGCAGATAGATAAGGCCACTTTAAGATGAATACAGGAGGGTATGTAGTTGTAATTCACATGGAACAGTGTTAAAAACAGGTCTTTTAATGCTATGGTAACGCACTTCAGCGACAGTAGAAAACAGTGCAGTTTAAACAAGGCCTTAATTAATAGGACAACAAAGATGTATGGGTGCTTGGTGTCACATTTGCATTTATGGAAAAATTATGCATAGCATGTTGGATAAAAACGATGTGTAGAACTTGCATAGAGAGACTGGCCTGAAAGTTTATTGTGCTTCAGCTTCAACTGTTGCGGATTACTTGTGACTTAATTAGACCCTGCAATCTGTTTAATCTCCCAAAGGATGTCATCATAAACATAAAAAAACAACAAATAACACAAAAAATAGAAAAGTAAAAAAGGAATATAAAATCTGTAAATTGTTATTGCAAAAGGCAAGCTCAATGACAAAGCTGGCCCCTGACCCCAATATTTATCATCACTAAGTGTTTAAGGTCCCTCAAACCACGTAGAAAAACCGCATATACTTTGTGCTGAGCAGAATTATGAGCTTTTGTGTTTGTTTTCAGGTCAGAAGGCGGAGTTTACTGTCATATGAGCCGCTTGTGTGTGATTGGCAGTCAGTGCTACACAACATGGAGGTTTGCCCTGGTCTGATGGTGTAGGGATTATGGACCCCTGAGTTGTTCGAGTCTGCTGTAGACATCATCGGCCTGACTTAACTCTTCAAATACTGGGATGAGGTGAAGCAGCTCAGTGTCCTCTGAATCATCGAACCAGGAGAGGACGGGAACCTGTCAAAGGCACACACAGGTTATTATATGCCAATAGCTTACTACGGTAATAGTAATACAATCATTTTGGGATTATTTAAATCTATTGGGTTTATGCGTTGTTATAAAAACAGGAAGATCGTTATATCAGTACATTTGGTAAATTAAATGTGCATATTTCAGATGGTGAAACAATATTTGGTTACATATACAGTACAGCAGGCCCTAAAGATTAAGACTGCATTGAAAATCCAAATAACATTTTGATAAAACTTTTGAACATTTGTTAACCCATACACGTTTAATAATATATAAAGGATAAGACATAAATATGTATATGGGTTTTTTGTTGTTGTTTTTGCATTTATTTGATCAAAAATACTGTCAAAACAGTACAACAATTTCAATTTAAATCAAACTGATTTCTATTTTAAAATATTTATTTTTTTCTGTGATGGCAAAGCTCCATTTTCAATTGAAAAAACTAAACAAAAGATCTGTACTCGTGTCTTAAATTATTCTTATTTTTATGATGGAACAAAGCACATATGAATTATTCAAATGTTTGGTTAGAAGGCTAATTACCGAAACGTTTGAATAATGAATATGTGCTTTGTTGCATAATAAAATAATAATAATAATTTGTTAAGACGACACAAGCGTGTGGCTTGTTTTTTTTCTTCATTTGACAGCATTGATATTATTTTTTTCCCGGAAAGCTCCATTTTCAGCCATTATAAAACAAAGTTTAAAGAAAAGCATTTAAATTAAATAGAAATCTTTTGTAACTGTCTTTACTGTCACTTTGTTGAATAAATAAAGGTATAACCATACATATATATATATATATATATATATCACACATAGAGATATTGATATATATAGATAGAAATACCATATTTCTATTTATAGTCTTGTTAAATAGCAAGAGGGCATCTACAGGGAAGGGTTTTACAAACAGCTAAATAGCAGCAGGACAGTGAAACCTACAGCATTTTCAGGGTGGAAGATGTATGAGGCAGGGGAGTTGTCCAGGATCAGGGTTTTGTGGAGCTCACGGCCGAGGCGACTCAGGTCTTTAACATAGCAGCCTTGATAGAACACACAAGATTCACGGAATAGCCGCGTCCGGAACACGCCACACTGATCCAGCAGGTCGGTCACGGGGTCTGCATACTACCAGAGCCATGAACGTGGAGAAGGAGGGATGGGTTAACATGATACTGGAGGAGAAAGTCAATCTGACACTACAAGGGCATAACTCTAGAACACTAACTAACCAGCATCTAGTGAGGAATTTCAACCATTTTCCTAAAGAAACATGAAATGTGATGCATGTTTGATACCTTAGCAAGGCTAGCAGTGAACAGAACACATTCAAAGAGTTCTCCCATCCTCTGGAGAAACTCATCCACGTATGGCCTCTTCAACACGTACACCTAAAACACAGATGAGTTTGTTGTATATGAGATCAATGTATTTTAGCACACCACTTAAAGAGTAGAGACTTCAGACTCAAATGTAGTTTTTTTTAAATGAACAAATCACAAAATGTTGTGCACTAAGGCTGTTGCTCGTAGCCTTCTCCTGAAACAAGTAATCAAGAATAGGCCGTACTAGTGGGAACTAACCTATCCTGGATTACTTGAACCAGGCAGAGGCCAAATGCAGATTTTCCATGAAAAGTGGGTGAGAACAATAAAAGTTTAGGAATATTTTAATGTAATTTCAATCTCCACATTTTAAAAACAAAAGTATTCTGGTTGAACTACTTTTTTTTTAATCACCGCTTTGGATGTGTAATATTTTTTTTCTCTCCACAGGGCAAATATTGTCTTTTGTTGTTGTACACATCATGACATTGCAATCCTCCTCCACTGCTGAAGTGTTGTTCTCGGTCAGTCCAGCAGATGGTGCTCATCGTTTACATTTGAATACAGAACAACATCTCCACTGTTTCCTCAAACAGATGTCCTGCGCACTTCAAGTCAATGCGCACTGGCAGGGTGTTTCTCACATACACAAACATTTATCAGATCTCACCTGGTGTGTGGTCCCCTCAATCTCCACAGGCACAATGAAATCAGCATTGCTTATTGGCTACGAAAACACAATGTGGATTTGGTTAAGAACATTGGTGGGGTGAGAAACTGTTATTAACCCTGTTGTTTACATGCAAATGTTATAGTTATCTATTCTGAAATATTACTACTAATTACACAGTATTTCCTTAAATCGTCAAATTTACAATATCAATCAGTGTTACAGGGTGTACCTTAAAGGAGCTATGCACCAGTGTTTCATCCAGATCTATGACCACACAGATCTTCCCCTGGTCATGAGAGGTCACTTCTGGCAGCAGACACTCTCCTGATATCTACAGGTGAGACCAGAACACACAGAGGGTTAACAACACCAAGAAAAATGTATATTTGATTCACAAAAATAAATAAATAAAGGGACTGCTTGTTATATTACATTGAATTTTACACATCCAAATTATCTCTCGCACGTCTACGTCACGTGTTGTTTATACAGAAATTTCGGAAGTTTTACCTCTCACTAAACATATTTAGATATACGGGAAATCACAATTTGATATATCTAAATATGTTTAGTGAGAGGTAAAACTTCCGAAATCTCCGTGTAAACAATGCGTGACGTAGACGCGCGAGAGATCACTTCCGGCGTAACGTCTGAAGACGGTTCAGTTGGACTTCTGATTTAGATCAGTTCGACGGCTGTTAACAAGAGCTAAAAAACTATATAAATACTGTTCGTTTTCTCACACAAACCGCTCGTTTCGTGTCTTAGGCCATCAATGTGTACTTACATTCACGAGTCATTAAATCTTGTTTAATTTTGACTTCTCTGTGCATGCTCTTTGAGGTGGGCTCCATAAACCTCCATTATATGACTGACAGACAACACCGGTTTGACCAAAAAATGTCAAAATTGAAAATGCTGTGGAAACAAAGACACCTACATCTTGGATGTCCTTGAGGTAAGCTAAAACATATCAAAAATTAATTTCAAAGTGAACTATCCCTTTAATCTTATTTTAATCTAATTTGTTTTATGCATCAAGTTTATAACTGATCAAAAAGTGTTGATTAATGATTGCTATAATACTTTGGCAATGGTCCCATGGTCCTCGGGCGCTAGCAAGGCATCGTGGGTAGGTGACGTTGGCAGTTGGGCATCTTGAGCTCGAAGGCAACAGATGAGCTTTTTGAAGATATTCCGACTTCCAGGTTTCTGAGGCGAGTTTTTATTCACCTGATCTGTTTGAAAACAATAAAACTTTTTTAAAAAACATAATTTGCATCTAATAGTCCTGCTGATAAATGTACTGCATAAACATTGCATAAAAAGGCTCATGTTGTGTGGTTTATAAACAATCCCACTTGAATCCCATTAAGTGCTGTCAAACCCCACCCAGAGTACATTAGTAAATGTTACTAAATATTTTCAATCAACCACTTTAGTCTCCAATAGATGACAAACAAAACTTATATTCACAGATACATTTGCATTGAATGCTTGACGGACCTTTTAAATAATTCAGAGCACTGGAATGAAATGTATGTTTTCATCAGTAAATGTGGCGGCTATCAACATCAAAATGACCAAATGCTCAGCCGCCCGCCCCTCTCCAGAGATGGCACACGTTGCACAGAAACAGAAAATCTGTTTTAAATCAGGCTGCTGGCCACGGCTGGTATATGTTATATAATCTCAGAGGGCGGGAAAGCCCACACATTTCTGCTGTACCTTTAGAGCAAAACACACACACTCCTGCCATTTCATCACAGAAGAGCCTGGCAGAAAAGCGCATACGCCACAGACTTAACTCCTATCCACAGAAATAAGACCTATGTTTTGTAACGCGAGCTTGGTTGTGCGTTACATAGGGGTTCCTTGCATATTTCAATTTTTCTGCATACTAGTTTTGCTCCCAAATATGTGCATGTAAGAGGAACATGATTTTGTTCAGACATGCCTGTTGAGATTCCTAAGAAACAAAAATGGGCATAAAAGCTCTTGCAACATGAAAGTACGCCATGCAGTGATTAGAATCTGCTTTTATTCCTATGGTGATGTAACTTCAGTTCTAGTAATCTTTTCTTTCTTTTTTTTTTCAGCTGAATGAATTAACCATAACATGAGTAGGGGCTGATCACGTGCACTACTTCTCCCTCTTGGTCCCTATGGGCACTTATGTAGCCATAGGAATCAACTTATGTAACATACGAGCAGCATGTACAGCAGAGGGAGGATGAGAGAAAATGGCCTCCTTCGTCATCATTGCTGTATGTGCTGTATTTGCCCATCTGTACACTCTCTGATAACGCCCTGCTAAACAAAAGGACTCAGGAAATGGAGTACATGGAAAATGTATACATGAATTCAAATGCACTTTCTTCAAAACATTTGTCACATAAGGATCAAGCGATATTGACAAGCTTTGTGAGCGGAGAGTGGAAGGAGTGTTTTGTTCAGGCACCGTCAAAGGTTCTGTTAAAAGCTTTTAAGTGTTTCTAGCTTACACTTCTGCTCAGATCTGATCAAAAAAAAAAAATTGTGTAAAAATTTTTTAGTGCGTAAAAAATAAAAAAATATTAAAAAAAAAAAAAAATCCCAGAAGGCAGATGTACAAAAGAAAACTGCTAGAAATCTAGCAGTTACTAATTTCATCCTCAGTAAATTGTCATCTGTTGTCCTAGATAAGAAAAATCTACATGGCGAATTAAATGGCAAGTACGGATTTGAGTTTCAAGGGATTGTGTGTAACTGTAGTCCAAGGAATCTGTTAAGAAAACAATAACATGTTCTTGATATTTATAATTAGCCAATCAAATTAGATTATTTTTTTTCTCGGTTGTGTTGCATCATGTATCTAACACTGGCATAACAGCAGTAATGTTTTCCTAGACAATATGTCTTAGATTTGGTCCGCAACAAATCGTTTTTAGACATAACGTATTACCAATACATATGGAAGCGATTTTTCAGGCATTCAGAGTGTTGCCTGAGCACATTTCTGAACTGAACACATTTCTAATGCACTCAAATATCAAAATGGTTTTCCTGATTAAAAATAATAAAACTACTTAAAGTAAGAATTCACTGAGCACTTAGAGCACATGCAGTATATAGTGACAGACCGCATTTTCGATGAGGTTAATAATTAAAGATTTGGTCATTTAGAGAATAGTTGTCTTTGGATAGTACAAATTTTCTTTTTTTTTAATCTCATTTGTTACCATTAAATTGAATTATGTATATATATTTGGCATTACATCACCCTGATCTCTAGTTATCAGCCTCAGTATTGGTTGCTGAAAAACATCCATATTGTCTGAACATTAAATTTCAGCTAAGTATTGATTTTCATTGCCTATTCATGGATTGCATTTTCACTCGGTTATGATGTACTAACCCATAGATGATGGATACTCAGCTAATGACATAACAAATTTCTAAACCAGAGTTCTTGCTTGATTTGAATATTATTAATGCAATTTATTCAACAAAGTCAATTCATCTAATTCCACAAGGTACTATAGCATATATATATATATAAAACTTTACATAAACAAAAATAATTAAATAAAAATATTAATTATTAAATATTTAATAATTATTAAATATTAATATTATTAATAATATTATATTACTCCAAAATAATATTATTATAATATTTGAAAAAATTCTAACAGACAGTGGGAAGCCATTTTGTCGTCATGTCACAACAGAGGACCCCTTTAGGCTGTGATTTGCAGCTATTTAATTTGTTAAAAACATACTTTTGTTTAGACCATTTTTAAACACTTTTTTATATTCAACATGACTCAAACATGTATATTTTGCATTGCAAAAATATCTTTAAAAATGTTTTTGAATTTGACTACACATGTGCAAGATGAAAAGACAGAATGTAGTGCTTTTTACATGGTTACACCACTTGACAATTTCAGAGTTCAAAATATATATAATCAAAATATATAATATCATGAATACAAATATTATGTCTTAGAAACTAACTGGAACATATGTTTTAAACTATATTTGTGAATTGATTTAACATTTTTATATTAATGTGTCTTGATTTGCACTATGCATCTGTTCACATCATGAGCACTATAATTTCTGAGCCTTTACTATTATGGCCACAAAAAAGGTCACACAGGACACTTCATGCCATCAAGTACAAACTGAGTTCAATGGGTCTTCAAGGAATTTGTGCAGACTTGGCTTGGCTATTTCCTCAACATTATGGCAGCTCGTAATTCACTAATACAGAGATCGTAAACATCTGTAATAACAGCCAAATTGACACCAGTTAAGTATGGTCATTCTGTTGATATCGTATTTGCGTCAGATCTAAAATAAGCGCACAGCTCTGCGCATATTGACGAGACCTGAGAAAAAGAAAAACACCGAAAGGAGATAGACTGGCCCGCCAGGTAGTAAGTAAGGCGTTAGAAAATTGTTATTTTCCGCATAATGGTTATTTTCCGCATAACACTGTGGCCTCTACTCGTTAAACATCTAGATAAGGTCTTCATTAACGGTTAAGGGTTGAACGTACGTGTGTAATGGTAGCGTCGCGCGGCAGATGGAGGGCGTGTGCTGCTGTGAGGGGTGTGTTGTGCATTCCAGCGCGGCACCTTGCGCTCTCCATTAGGCCGATGTTTTTCACATTTCAACTCGATATTGTGTACAGTTTTACTTCAGAAAGAGCGTGAGATACGCGAGTGTAGGTAAGTCGATTAAACAAATGTTTTTGAAACACAATCCGCATAACGTTAAAACAACATGTCACTCAAATTATCCATTAACCAAGCGATGAAACGACGTCCACAGAAGAGGAAACAACACAGTCTTACGTGAAACGCGAATTACATTGGCTCTACGTTTGCTTTAAAAACACCAGAATTACATCTATTATTTAAATAAACTGAAAATAAATTAAAATCGAAATAAACAAATAGAAAACAACAATTTATTAATTAAATGACCAAATAATAAACAAATAAATAAATAAATAAATACAACGACAAAAGCATGTCAGATTTTTGTCATATTACGTAAACATTCAGCAATGCCTGACTGCAACAGCAAAACATGTAACGTTAAATAATAATAAAATCTTTATTACGCTACGTGAAAAACAATGCGCTTATATATATATATATATATATATCCTCAAACACGATATTGATCTTTTTTTACGTTTCGCTGTTCGGAGCGGAATTCGTTAAGTTTCAACGGTTGGAACTTGGCGAATTCCGCTCGCGACTGTGACATGTCAATCAGCTCATTTTGATAAATAACTGTCACACAGTGCGAGCATCGAACATGTTCGAATCGCACATCGAACAGTGTGACGCAAAAATGGCTAATATGTTATCGTTAGCATTGACAGCGCGGAAACATCACCATTTAGTATGTGACAGCGCATTCATTGCCTACCTGTTTTCGAAGATAACCGAGAATCCTCTCTCTGCACTTGAGTGATGATAGAACTTTCCATCTAACAAACGCACAGCCCTTAACGTCCAACCAACCTTTTCCAGCGACAAACAGTCGGTCCGCATTTGTTAGTGGCATTAAAAGCTAACGAGGCTTGAAATGAATAATTCCGATCGCACAAAAAAAAAAAAATCTCAAACCTACGGCGACAAATTATTTTGATATTTATTTATTCCCGCCTTCTATTCTCTTCCACATGGGAGGGGCATGCCACTTTGTTTTTGTTTTAATCTTATCTGCTATTTTCTAGGATTCGCGTCTCGGTTACTTTATCGCTCGTATATTTATCCATAGCCCCCTCTGGTCTTGGTAAAGCCCTCACTTTTTCTCCAACAACATGGAGAATCCAGGCGAAAGAAGAAAAACAACCGAGGACATGGGGCAAGGACGGTTTCAAGTTCCCCTTACTACAGATAAACAACCCCGTAACTGGGGTAGATCCAAAATAGCATTTGACTAAAAAACACGACAAATTCGCCCGTTTGTGTAATTTAAGGAGACAAGAAGCGAAAACAGTCGATAATTGACGATTTATTTGTTTTTCCGTGTATTGTTTTGCTTTGGACGGACTCGGAGGGGCGCCTTGAAACAGTTGTTCGTTTCGGATTGGATCACCAGGAAGTGGGAGTAGCTGAAGCATTCTTCTGTTCTGCACACTCCACACCGAAAACATTCCAGTGCTGGTTTTGTCGCAAATCAGTATTCAGAAGATGTAGTCCTTTTAAATCTAAATTACAGTGTCGGAATGCTAATTTAGTAATGAGGGAATTGCAAAGGAAATGAGTGATACGATTAAATTAGTATTTGAAAAAAAAAAAAAAGCTCATGTTTTCAAATTGCATCACACCTAATCCACACATTTTCCTACTGATCCTCCTCATCACTGTACTGTAGTTGTGATGATGATGATGATGACGAAGAGGATTAATGAAGGCTATTGATCAATTCTAAATATCTGTTAGTATTATTAGTTCACAACTCGAGTAACCTGAAGATTCTGTGCTAAAATAGGTCATTAAATATTAAAACATTTTAGATAGATTAGATAACAACTTGATGCTTTGACAACATTTCATGTCCTGATTTGAAACATTGGCCAATGCATCATTGTTAAACTGTCATTGTCAGCCGGGTGAAAAAAAATAGAAGTTGTATGCCCTTATTTCTAACATTTAAAAAAAAAATCTTTCAATCAAGGGAACAGAGGTAGAGAATGGTAAATGTAAGTGATAAAAGAGCCACAGACTTTTTACCAGCCTGAGTACTGCCCAAAACTCCCGTGTTGGAAATCTATTCTATTCCCAAACAGGACCATTTCTATACCACAAAACCCAGACATAAAATATAGCTGCGAGCAGCGATGGCGGGCCCAAGCCGGTGGCACCGCAACCCCGGTTCCTTTAGTTACCTAAAGGCACCCGGGTAGCGGTGCCGAAGGCTTTGGCCCTTTTATGATTAAATGTTAAAACGGCTTGCCATACTCTGTCATTTCGACTAGTCACAATTATGTTACAGATGTCTTAAATGATAATACAAACTATCCAAAATGTAATTACGAATAGACAGAAAGACGTTGTTGATATCTACAATGTTAATTCCGGACAGGCAAACTTAGCTTTTAAATGTTAAAAGGGCTTGCCATACAGGGACGTAGGCTCAGAGAGAGGCTCACCATATTCAAACCAAAATATCTGACTTCCTCTTGGTCCGAGCTAATGACTATGTATTAGAAAGTTGTCCGGCTTGAGGAGTACAATGTATATACCGATTTTTGTAACTGTAGATAAAACTAACAACCCCACTTTTGTCAAAAGGTGGCGCTATTTAGTCCTTGCACATTGCCCGTTTCTGAAACTTTGCACGTCTACTGGCTAATAAATGTGATGTATCTGTTGAGTTTCAAGCAATTTCAATTTCAATTTGACTGTTGAAAAGAAGTGCGCCGATTAGATACTCAGGATCGGTATCGGCTCTGACACTGCCATCTTTGACGAGGCTGATTCAAATTCTATATTGTGCATATACTATTCTGTTAGGCACAAAGGCACAAAAACTTTCTAAAGTACCATAAAGTTTTTGTGTACTGTATTATTAGTGTTCTGAAGCTATTATGTGATATAGAAATTAATATTTAAGTCATTAAATTCAAGAACACAAACTTTTCCCTCTCTGCGCCTGTCAGTCATTCTCCATTCAGCATTCAAACAGCACGTCACATTCGGTTACAGTCAATGATGAAACGATCTTCAATGATTCAATGTTAATCCTATTATACTGGATCTTTAAGATAAAGGTCTAAAGGTCTATATTTTCGAATGAAGAAACTTTTTCTTGCTGGACTTTATTGCTGTAACTTAATCGCTGTCGGTTAGATCACAACACTAGAGTCAGAGCACTATAATTGTTCTTCACGCACACAGTAACTGAAATTTAAAACCTTTAAAAGAAAAGGCTCAATAAACTATTGCATAGATAGATAATGTATAATACACTGTTCATAAATATGTATTTCCTTTGTGCTTTGAACTTTTCAATACGGACTCAATGCGCTGTAACTTCATGTGGCTTCAAGCACATCATTCTCCGCTCGGGATGCACATAAGTGCTTTGTGCTGCACCGTATTGGAGCCGTAATATCATAATGCAGTGACGTAATGACAGATTATTAATTGCCTTTCAATTATATGTTGCTTTATAGCAGCCATGGCTATATTTTTTTTTAATGATTTTTGTTATCTTGTTTTTTCATTAATGTATTTTTCAAAAATAAGAGCAATGTGTATTATCTATTATTAATATGGTTTATAATAGCATTTTTGTCATAGATTATGACAAAGTAATCATATGATCCACCAGCGAGGAACCAGCAGAACAGAGTGAACATTCTTTCTGTTTAGTTCAATCCTACTTAATAGGAATTTATTTAAAATGCTCGCTCTACTCCACACCATTAATGTCTTGTGCGGACATCCGTATTTTGACTTTCGGTTTTAAGTAAGCGATTTAAAAGCTCCAAAGTCCCAGCGGAGTCACACGTTGATTAACCGGTGGGAATATACACAATAGGCCTACCTGATATTGAACACAAGAGGGCAGTATAGCACTACGTATGACTCAGATTATTATTTTTTTATGAATTTTACAACAATTCTGGCTGTTTTTGAACGTAAACACAATTCTTAAATGAAAAAAAAGGAAAAATTGGGGAAGTTATAATATTTGTATAATTTAATTTAGAAACAAATGATGTATAATTACATTTTTAGAAGATATGAGGCTTTTAGTGTTTACTTTTTTGACATTACTTTAATCTTTTGCCATAGTTGCACATGTCTATTGGCTAATAAATGTGATGTATCTGTTGAGTTTCAAGCAATTTCAAGCAAGCTAAGAGTCCCAAAAGCATCAAAAAATAATGTTAAAGTTTGTTTCGTTGCCACGGCATTTTGAAAGTGACACACTTCCTGCTGCCAGTTGGTGGCGCTATAACTTTGACTCACAATAGTCACATCCATGTGATCGGTCTCTTACAGCGAAAACACTGCTGAAGTTTCATCAAGATCAGTTAATGTATGCTGAAGTTATAACACACATCCTGTTCCATGTTTCTCGCCATAATTTCGTTTCCTCGCCACGGCCAAACCGTTCGAGATATCAAAAATCCCGTGGCACTTTTTCATCCTTAATGTCTTGACTTCACGCTGATCGAGTTTCGTCGAATTTGGTTCAGTGCTCTAGGAGCAATAATTTAAATTACATTGCATGTGTTTTAAACACAACCCTAAATAGCCAACTTCCTGTTGGGCTGGGGTAAAAAAGTAAGAGTGTGAAGTATATATGAAACGATGAGATCTATATGTGTACCAAGTTTCATATTTTACATGCAAGTGTGTTTGATTTATGGACCAAATTTTCAGACCAAGTTTATTGACCAAGTTAATCTGATTAATAAACTAATTATATAAAACTATTGTCAATTCACTACAATTAAACTAGTTATATGCCTTTACTTATAAAAAATAAAAATAAAAACTTATTTAAAAAATATCAGGCTTGAGAAATGTATTTTCTTTATGCAGGTCATACACACAGCAGTGAAATGGTTAAGCCCCCTCCCCCTGCACACACACACACACACACACACAGACAGCCAGCCAGCCAAAGGCTCAGAGTGGCCATATTCAAACAAAAATATCTGAGTTTCTGTGGGTCCTAGCTAATAAGTGTCAATTAGAAAGTTGTCCGGCTCGAGGAGTACAATATACATACCAATTTTTGTAACTCTAGTTAAAACTAACCACCCCACTTTTGTCAAAAGTGGCGCTACTGAGCCCTCACCACGCCCGTTTCTGCAACTTTGCACATGTCTACTGGCTAATAAATGTGATGTGTCTGTCGAGTTTCATGCAATTTGAAGCATGCTAAGGGTCTCAAAAGCATCCTAAAAGCATCCTAAAAGAAGGGTAAAGTTTGATGCGTCGCCACGGCAACAGTTTCAAAGATATCAAGAATCCATTCACAGGTCTACATCTGCCGTATGTTTACATTATACATATGAAGTTTGAAGCAAATCGGGTAAAAATAAAAGGGTGATATCTAAGCATTTGAAAGTGACACACTTCCTGCTGCAGTGGTGGCGCTATAACTTTGACTCACAATAGTCACATCCATGTGATCGTCCTCTTACAGCGAACACACTGCTGAAGTTTCATCAAGATCAGTTAATGTATGCTGAAGTTATAACACACTTCCTGTTTCACGTTTCTCGCCATGATTTCGTTTCCTCGCCACGGACAAACCGTTCGAGATATAAAAAATCCCCTCGCAAACTTTCATCCTCAATGTCTTGACTTCACGCTGACGAGTTTCGTCGAATGTGGATCAAAGCTCTAGGAGGAGTATTTGACATTCCATTGCGAGCGTTTTACAAACAAACCTCAATAGCCAAATTTCCTGTTGGGCTGGGGTAAAAAGTAAGAGCGCGAGGTATAGATGAACGATGAGATCAACGTGTGTACCGAGTTTCATATTATTACATAACAAGCGTGTTTGAGTTATGGACCAAGTGTTCGGACCCCGTTCCAGGGGGCGCTGACGAGCTGCCCTGCCACGCCCGGGTACCATCTTCAGCCCGGCTCTGATGGCCGCGGGTTCTGACCCGTGTGCAAAGTTTCAAGAGTTTTCGAGCACGGTTAAGGCCCCAAAGTGCCCAAAAGGTAGCAAAATAATAATAATACTAAAGAAATATAGCTGCGAGCAGCGATGGCGGGGCCCAAGCCGGTGGCACCGCAACCCCGGCTCCTTTAGTTACCTAAAGGCACCGGGGTGGCGGTGCCTGAAGGCTTTGGCCCTTTCATGATTAAATGTTAAAACGGCTTGCCATAGTCTGTCATTTTGACTAGTCACAATTATGTTACAGATATCTTAAATGATAATACAAACTTCCAAAATGTAATTACGACTAGACAGAAAGACCATTGTTGATATCTAGAATGTTAATTTCCGGATAGGCAAACTTAGCTTTTAAATGTTAAAAGGGCTTGCCATACACGG